GCAATGGATATGCTAATTTTCAGAGGGTTGCAATGTGGAATGAAATTCTAGCCTACCTTGTAGCCGTCGTTACATTTATAGCAATTCTCACACTTCTGCACATTTTTCGTTTTAACAAACACATTGGCCTTCTGGGCTCAGTACTTCGGTATGCTAATCGCGATATGAAGTACTTTTTTGTGGTCTTCGGGATCGTCTTCTTTTCCTTCGTCACAACATTCTACCTGCTCTTTCTCGACACGCTCGCCGCCTACAGTAGCTTCATTTATTCCATGGAGACCAGTTTCCAGATTGTGCTTGGTAAATTTGATGTGACGAGTATGTACGAGCTGGAGCCCCTCCTTGGACCAATGGTGTTTGCTGCTTTTACCCTCTTTATTGTCTTCATCATGCTCAATATGTTTGTCGCCATCCTCACAGATAGCTTTGAAATTGTCCGCAAGGATCCCAGCTTGCAATGTGATGACCATGAGATGGTGGCTTTCACGTTGGCCAGGTTCATTGTATGGTCCGGATTGAGTACTCACACCTGGGGCAAGAAGATTCTGCTGAAGTATGCGGATAATGACTTTGGACAAATTTATGAGGAAAGGGAGGATCGTCAGACAGAAGAGTTGATTTCTGATTTCCAAGAGGCTGTGGACTTGTTTCTGTCGCGAGCCCGACGGGTTGAAATTTCAGCTGTGAAGGAAGGCTAGAGCACTCGCGTGGCTGCAGCTTGGAAGGCTGGTGGCAACTTCGGCTTCATAAATTGAATCTTGCCTTATGTTCGCATATCTCACTGATGGACTACTTTCAGCTGCACTATCATTTATTTATAATCTGCCATATCTGTCTGTTACTGTTGCCGCGTTCTCCATGAAAATGCTCATCTTACTGGCATCAGACGATGTTCTTTGCCTCCTTAATCAGCACACACATTTTACTGACACCCTTTTGTTAGACCGATAGTCGCTGTGCTTTAATTATGACCTTGCTTAAATTGCATTTTTCGTCGATATACCGGTTGTTTTTTTAATTATAAAGATAGTTCCTTGGAGTACCTGGAAGGGTCCTTTCGTTAAAAAATCACTAAAAAAACTCAGAACGAATTGGCAAATCTTTGTAGTTGTTAATTTATTAAAAGTACGTCAGCTCTTTAATTATGTCCAATAATAAAACGTAGTAGGGTAAAAAAATCTTGGATATCATCAACCAGAAGGGATAATTTGTAGATGGACTTGTGGGTTTTCAAGTATGAAGAAAATTCTCGCTCATGGGAGGACTGTCTGGCGCGCGCTTCGAATTCGACCTCGAGGGGATCTAAATTTTCTCTGAGATCAGGGTTATTAGACGATTCTACAGCCTGTCGAGCCTAGGAATTCACTTCCACTGACCAATATTTCCCCCTCGGAAATCTCCAACAGGATTAAGCCGACTCCTGCAAAATTTTGGATCCGTCGAGTTTTATCTTTCCGCGTTTCTACTGCTTCTTCGCCCAAGCAGACTATTCCACCGCCGAACAATACAGCTAGAATTACTTCAAATGCTGAGTCTTTCTTGTTAACACAGATATTCGTCGCACTATCATGTCAGAGCTATCACCTAAATTCATGTTTTTAGGAAGTTTCTCAAATATCTTTCCAGTTCTATCAGTTCTATTGCAGACTTATATCTTGAGGAGGTAAATAGTCTAAAAACGGAGATGGAAAAGTTGAAGAAATCTCCTAGCTTCCTCCCTAAAGATGATAAAATTGACGGTGTCTGAACATGAAGGATGCAAACAGACATAATAATAATAATAATAATAATAATAATAATAATAATAA